ACAGTGGCTTTGTAATACATCTTGATATCTGGTATTGAGATCCCACCTACTTTGGTCTTTTTCAGGATTGCTGCAGCTATTCGAGGTCTTTTTTTATTCCAGATGAATTTTTGGAGAGTTCGTTCTAGATCTCTGAAGTATGCCATTGGTATTTTAATGGGAAGTGCGTTGAATTTATAGATTGCTTTGGGTAGTATGGACATTTTAATGATGTTGATTCTACCAATCCATGAACACGGTATGTTCTTCCATCTGTTTATGTCTTCCTCTATATCTTTTTTCAACGTCCTGTAGTTTTCTGAGTAGAGGTCTTTTACCTCTTTAGTTAAGTTTATTCCTAGGTAGCTTAATTTTTTTGGTGCGATGGTAAACGGGATTGTTTTTATAATCTCTCTTTCTGAAAGTTCACTATTGGTGTATAGAAATGCCTCGGATTTCTTGGGGTTAATTTTGTATCCTGCTACATTGCCAAATTCATGTATTAAGTCCAGTAGCTTTTTGATGGAGTCTCTAGGGTTTTGTATGTATAATATCATGTCGTCTGCAAATAAGGACAGTTTTACTTCCTCTTTTCCAATTTGGATGCCTTTTATTTCTTCTTCTTGCCGAATTGCAATGGCTAACACTTCCAGTACTATGTTGAACAGGAGTGGTGAGAGGGGGCATCCCTGTCTTGTTCCTGTTCTTAGGGGAAATGGTGTTAGTTTTTGTCCATTGAGTATGATGTTGGCTGTGGGCCTGTCATATATGGCTTTTATTATGTTGAGGTATGATCCTTCTACTCCCACCTTGCTGAGAGCTTTTATCAAAAATGGGTGTTGAATTTTGTCAAATGCTTTTTCTGCATCAATTGATATGACCATGTGGTTTTTTTCTTTCAATTTGTTTATGTGATGTATCACGTTTATTGATTTGCGGATATTGTACCATCCTTGCATCCCTGGGATAAATCCTACTTGGTCATGGTGTATGATCTTTCTGATGTACTGCTGGATCCGATTTGCTAAGATTTTGTTGAGGATTTTGGCATCTATGTTCATGAGGGATATTGGCCTGTAATTCTCTTTCATTGTGTTGTCTTTACCTGGTTTTGGTATTAGGGTGATGCTGGCTTCATAGAATGAGCTTGGAAGTGTTCCTTCCTCTTGAATTTTTTGTAGTAGTCTGAGGAGGATAGGTTTTAGTTCTTCCTTGAATGTTTGGTAAAACTCCCCTGTGAAGCCGTCTGGTCCTGGGCTTTTGTTTGCTGGAAGCTTTTTGATGACTGCTTCAATTTCTTCCATAGTTATTGGCCTGTTGAGATTTTTAGATTCTTCCTGATTGAGTTTTGGAATGTTGTATTTTTCTAGGAATTTGTCCATTTCCTCCAGGTTGTCTAGTTTGTTGGAGTAGAGCTGTCCATAGTATTTTTTAACAATCATTTGTATTTCTGTGGGGTCTGTTGTTATTTCGCCTCTATCGTTTCTGATTTTGTTTATTTGGGTCCTCTCTCTTTGCTTCTTGGTGAGTCTGGCTAGAGGTTTGTCAATCTTGTTTATCCTTTCAAAGAACCAGCTCTTGGTTTCATTGATTTTCTGTATTGTTTTTTTGGTCTCTATGTCATTTATTTCTGCTCTAATCTTTATTATCTCCTTCCTTCTGCTCACTCTGGGGTTTTCTTGTTGCTCTCTTTCTAATTCTTTGAGTTGTAGAGTTAGATGATTTACTACCATTTTTTCTTGTTTGTTGAGGTAGGCCTGTAGAGCTATAAACTTCCCTCTCAGGACTGCTTTCATTGTGTCCCATAGGTTTTGGATTGTTGTGTTTTCATTGTCATTAGTTTCCAGGATGTTTTTAATTTCTTCTTTGATTTCATTGGTAACCCAATCAATATTTAATAGCATGCTATTCAGCTTCCAGGTGTTTGAGTATTTTGGGTTGTTTTTATTGTAGTTTATTTCTAATATTATGCCATCATGGTCTGCGAAGACGCTTTTTATGATTTCAATTTTCTTGAATTTGGGGATACTTTGCTTGTGACCCAATATATGGTCTATTTTTGAGTATGTCCCATGAGCACTTGAGAAGAACGTATATTCCCTGGCTTTGGGGTGAAGTGTTCTGAAGATGTCTATTAAGTCCATCTGATCTAGTGAGTCATTTAGGATTGCTGTATCTTTGCTGATTGTTTGTCTATAGGACTTATCCAGTGCTGTTAGTGGTGTATTAAAGTCCCCTACTATGATTGTATTGTTGTCGATCTCTCCTTTGATATCTTCCAGGAGATTTTTTATGAATTTCGGTGCTCCTGCATTGGGTGCATATATGTTTACCAGGGTTATATCTTCTTGTTGTATTGATCCCTTTAGTATTATGAAGTGGCCTTCCTTATCTCTTGTTATGGCCTTCACTTTGAGGTCTATTTTGTCCGATATAAGTATTGCTACCCCAGCTTTCTTTTCCTTTCCATTTGCCTGAAAGATATTTTTCCATCCTTTCACTTTCAGTCTGTGTGAGTCCCTTCTAATGAGGTGGGTTTCTTGTAGACAGCAGATGTATGGGTCATGTTTTTTTATCCATTCAGCCACTCGATGTCTTTTGTTTGGAGCATTTAGTCCGTTTACGTTTAAAGTTATTATTGAAAGGTGGGTTGTTTTCACTTTGCCTTCAGCACAGCCCAGAGTTTCCCGTGGGAAGCTGTGCGCGAACCTTCCCAGCGTGCTGTTTTAGTCTTTGTTTCGCCCTCACTGTCACTCAGCGAGTCACTCTCTCGGCGTGGAAGAGGTCACACCACTGTCTTCCTGCTCCTTTGCCATGAAGCGAGCACCGTCTGGCTGGTGCTGCTCCTCTGACGATTGTTTTCCCCAGCTGCTTGTAGAATTTTCTGCAGGTTCGATCCAATGTGCCAATGGTCCGCCGGGACACCCTCAGTGTGGGCACCTGTGCTGATTGATGCCTGCCACTCCCTCGGGGACTTGAGGAGGTCAGCACCTGTTCCGGTTTCCACGTCCCTGCCTCCAGGCTGCATCTGACCATTTCTGCGGTTGTTGCTTCCATGCTTGCTTCATAGCTTGAACTGGTCATTTCAATGGCTGCCATCTCCGAGGAGCTGAGCTGTGATTTTGGGTGCCTCTCGATTGACTCAGAAGTAGCAGCGTTCGCACACATGTCTCAGACAGCTTCCTCTGTAGTCACCATCTTAGCTCAGTGTGGGACAGGGTCCCTGCCTGGGAGCCAGCCCTGGCACACAGCCGTTAGCTAAAGCGCGGGACACACTGAGGCTCGCTCGGTTTTCCTGACCGTCCTCTGTTTCCGGCCCCGCAGTGGCCCTGCCGTCCTGTCGCCTGAGTCTCCTCGGCTGTGACAGCTTCCCAGTCTTTCATTGTTCTCACGACCACCACAGTTTGGGGGGGTGCTGGTCAGGCGTTTCATAGAGTGTCCCTCCTTTATGTTTGTCCGGTTTTTCCCTCATGATTGAGGGGCGGGGGGAGCAAAACCCCAGGGGTCCAGTGCCCGTCTCCACACTTGCTGTCCACGTGGCTCCTCTGCTGAAGGTCACCGTGAGGGCCTGGCGACAGTGGGCTTGTCAGTGTATGTCCCCACGTAACGGTCCTTTGGCTGGAAGTCATGCGTGCAGCCCACACGTGCTTTGGGGAGGTGGGAGGTGTCAGCTCTGTCATGGGGAGGGCTGTGTACTCAGTCACTTGTTTATGTCAGAGTTCACTCGTGGCTGTTCATGGCAGACTCAAGATTATGATTCAGTCCTGCATCTTGTATTCCTTTTCCTGCTGGCCCTGTGTGTCCCTCGGACAGGCCCCGTTGACTGTCTTTGCACTCTTTTGTACTCTGCACTGGAAGACGCCCAGGCTCCTCCGTGGTCGGCTCCTCCGTGTTCTCCCCGCTGCCTGGAAGAGCCGCGTTTCCAGGGAGCCAGTTCCTTTCATTGGAGGGTGGTACTAGAGACCGAGATTGCTTCTCCTGGCCCAAGTGCAGCTCGCTGGCGTCTGTGCTTCATGATCGGGAGGCCATGCTCCTTGGAACTGAGCTGGCAGCACTGATTGGCAACCTCGGGGCCGAGTGCCCATGGAGGATGGACAGTTGCTGTGCCATGTCACGGAACCACCACTACAAGTGCAGGTCTGAACGCTCAGTATTTAGGACCCAGCAGAGTCTCAGGTGCCTTCATTCTGAGCTTTTGCCCAGAGCCAAGGCTAAGAACAAAACTGCTTACAGTGGTCTCTGCAAGCACGCCTCTGTGCATCTGCCCTCCCTGGCTCATCCTAGGGCTCCAGGCATTCCAGCCCCGCCTGTCCCCAGTGTGTCTCGGTGGGTTCCAGCTTCTACCGAGCCCCCAGGTCTCTCCAGTTCACTCGTGGCTGTTCATGGCAGACTCGGGATTATGATTCAGTCCTGCATCTTGTATTCCTTTTCCTGCTGGCCCTGTGTGTCCCTTGGCTTATCCAGTTAAAGTTTTTTAATCATTGTGTTTTCATGCTCTGTTGCAGCTACTCTGGTTTGCCCTGCGGCCCTCTGACTTTGCGTGGGTTCCGCTACCTGCAGCCAGCACTTAGGGAATCGCCTAGAGCAGAGGTTCCTTCTGTTCTGCTCAATACTTTTCTTCCATTTACCTTTTCCCCTGTTATTAGAAGAAAACCATGGCCAGGGAGTAGTCAAGCATTTTTATGTAAACTACCAGGAATGTGAAAGTGATGTTTCCAAAAAGTGGTAGTTGTTCCCCTGATCTCATGCTGATGTCGCACCAGCCCCTCCCGGACACCGTCTGTGGCCCTGCTACCTGAGAACCACAAGCATCCCTGAGAGTTTCCTAAGAAAAGTGCCCTAAGGAAAATAAGTTTACTTTTGTAAACGTTTATGTGATAAATCCGAAGCCCACATCTGGCTATTAAAGTTACATTTCCTCGCTGTTGGCAAGTGCGCTCAAGACACAAGTGCTGGTTGTGAACAGCCCGCCCTGACGTGCACGGGGTTATATTAACCATACAGTCACACGTCTTTTGCAGCTCGATCCTCTCCCAGAGAAGGTTTTACAGCAGAGACCCAATGCCAACGCTGTCCGGTCCATGGAGAAGGTCATTGAGATTCACAGTAAGTTGTCTGGGCCAGGTCTCCAGCTGGGAAATGTTCCTGTGGGAGGGAGAGTACAGGACTCCCAGCCCCAAGTCCCCGCCCTGGGCTCCTCATGTCACTGCCAGCTGCTTCCTGGGCCTACAAGACAGGCCTGGCTTTCAGCCAGATTTGATGAGCTGCTGGAGACTCTTGTTGAACTCCCATGTGCTCGCCGCAATCCACTACAGTGTGTCTCAGCTCATGTCACAGAAGTGCCTGCCTCCAGGAGGCTGTGAAGTCACTTGCTCCAGGCCCCCAGCTAGCAGGGTGGGGCCAGGTCGTGAACTGTGTCCTCAGGTCTGGTCTCTTCCCTGGCCCGAGAACCCCACCCCTCCTGCAGACTCAGTGGGGGGTGCAGGGCCTCCCTGCAAACTCTGGAGAGTGCAGGGCCCCCTATTTCCTAGCACTTCCCCTCCAACATCAGGCTCTGGGGACCCAGGGAGCTGGCACACAGCCAGGTGACTCATGCCAGCACACCTGTCTCAGGTGAGCTGGCAGTGCCCTCTCCTGGTCGCAAAGCTCAGTTTGTCCTGGGTCCTTGGGATGGCCCAAACTGTGGAGACTGTCCGTCTAGGTGGGTGGGAACCAGGGGTCTCACCTGTGTGTCCTCCACGGGTGTTGGGTCCCTCCTAGCCTTGGAGCTGAGCTATCCCCCTGCCCTGATGAGAACCCCTGGGTGCCAGAAAACACTGAGAGGCTGTGTCTGGGCCAGGCCCAGCCCTCCCTGCAAGGTCCCCTTACTCTGAGCCTCATAGGGACACCCCCATGGTCTTGGAAGGTCCAGTTGGGAGCCCCCTCCACACTGGGTGGCAGTCTTCCCATGCCCCCGCCTGCTAGAGTCAGGGATAGGGTCATGGAGAGCCTGCTGGGCCCAGACCCGTGGCGTCTGTAACCAGCACTTCCCTCGCCCAGGCCAGTACTGGCGCTCCCTGCAGCGCCTCCCCTCCACCGTGGCCTACTCCCTGGTCGAGGCCCAGAAGCGCGAGAATGAAGAAGCCGAGACAGTCACCGCCATGGCCTCCCTGTCCGTAGGTGTGAAGCCTGCTGAGAAGAGGTGAGCCCTGCAGGGCCTGGCCTGCGGCACTGCATGGAGGGGACGCGTTCTGAAGGAGCTAGGAGTCTCAGCTCCTGCATCAGAGGCCCGAGGCTTCTCCACATAGGCCCTCAAGGGCATGGGGAGCAGGTGTCCCCATCCAACAGTCTTTCCAGTGTAGGGGGGAGCATTTATCCCTGAGCAGGTGGCCCAGTAACAGCTGGTCAGGAGCCGGGAATTGAAGGTGGGAGGTGGGTGGGGGAGCAGGGGAGCAGTCCTGTTGGAGGAAGAGGGGCGGAGGACAGGTAGAGAAGGCCCTGCAATGCTGCCTCTAACCCTCCGTCTGTCCTTTCTCTTCTCTGCTGTGTGCCTTTTTGTGCTCCCCCTGGGGCACTGCCACAGGCCTGAGGAGGAGCCCATGGAAGAGGAGCCGCCCCTGTAACCGTGCCCACGGCTGCGACTCTTGTTTGTCTGTCTGTCTTGAAGCTCCGCCAAGAAAAGTTGCTGTTTCTCTGCATCCTGCCAGGCGTTCTTTCAGAATCCGCAGGCACACCAGGGGCCCAGACCCCAGGTCTCACCGGGCAGGGCAGCCTTACACAGAACCCGGGACAGACGCCGGGAAGAGCAGACACCGACATGCAGGGCACCAGGCTCGCCCTCGGCCCCCCTGAGGGATGCCGAAGAGGGAGGAAGCCTGCGGCAACTCGTGGCAGAGTTGCCCGATTCAGCTGACACGAGGAAAAGAACATGAAAATCAAAGATCTAACAATACAAAACAAACTTGATCAAAACTGGTGCTTAAAGTTTGATGATTAATTACCCACAATTCCACAGTCTCCGTGTAAACCACTCATCTTGTAGCTTTCTTTTTAAAGAGAACGTTTTCTATCGCTCTGGCCTGCCTCTGTGAACCAGAGCGGTGTGCGGTGGGGTTTGCAGCCGGGTGGGGGACAGAGTGGATGAGCATTTAAAAAAAAAAGTGGACAAAAATGGAAATGTGAGCCTGCAGGAGCTGGCTTTGCTTTCTCAAAGCCATCGGAAGATGCAAGTTTGTGCCTTTTTTTTATTGCTCTGATGGATTTTTGTGGCTGGGTATTCTGAAGTCTGAGGGACAATGCCTTAAGAAAAAAATAAACAGCAGGAATTGATGGGATAGTCCTGTGGCTGGTGGGGCTAGCAGTGCCCGTGGGGCAGGAGGCTGCCCCGTGCTGACCAGGGCTTTGAGAGCAGGCGCAGGCCGCGGCCGGCGGCTCCAGAGGGCTGCCAACCTGCCGCCCTCATTTTGCTTTATTGCTGTGTAAGAAAAATGGAGGTAGTTCCCAAAAAGTGGCAAATACTGTTGGGATTTTTGAAGTCCAACAAATTTTAAATGAATCCAAAGTGTTCTTTTCTCATACATCATATAACAATTGAGCATCTCCATTGGCTGTGAAGCATGTCCTAGGCACACCTTCAGTGTTACGGTTGGAATGCTTTTTATTAAAAGCAAGTAGCATGAAGTATTGCTTAAATTTTAGGTATAAATAAATATATATATGTATAATATATATTCCACTGTATTCCAAGCTAAGAAACTTGATTCTTATGAAATCTTGATAAAATATTTATAATGCATTTATAGAAGAAATATATATATATATACATATATATATATGTATATATATATAAAATGCAGGTTGTCAAGGCCCCTGGGAACGAGCGACTTGTGAATTAGCTACCAAGGTGCTTACGGAAAGGGATCTAGTTTGAACTCATGTAGTTTGAAGTCAGATTGGATCGATTTCAGATCGCCAGCACATTCGCCACTGGCAACTACCACACGTTTGTATTTCATTTTAATTATTTTCTAACAGACCCCTCCCGTTCCACACCTCCACCCACATATGTACCTAATGAGTTTTTATAGCAAGGAATATAAATTTGCTGTTGATTTTTGTATGAATTTTTCACAAAAAGATCCTGAATAAGCATTGTTTTGTGAATTTCACATTTTTTTCTCACCATTTAGCAGTTTTCTGAATGGTAATAATGTCTAAACCTTTTTCCTTTCTAAATTCTTCTTGTACATTTTTTTAACTTTCAACGTGTTTTTTATTGTTTTCACTTTTGTTTGTATGGTGAGCAGTTTTCTGTGCACGGAACTGCTGCCATTGGAGTTTATTTTCAGAAAGAGCGTCGCCTGTGGGGTGGATCTGGGCTGTTGGTAGCGGCGGGCTGCTCCTGCCTCGCCAGTAGTATTACCGGGTGGTGTGTTTCCCTCTGTGGCAAGTGTGGAGAGGGCCACTCGTGACACTGAACGGTGACTTGCCAGACACCGCAGGCCGTCAGCTTCCTGAAACTCTCATTTAAACTTCTCTGACCACATCGTCAGACTAGCTTCAGTTTTCCAAAGACCTTTTAAGCATGTCAGCAATGCATGGCCCGGCACCAGCCCAGGTTTTTCCGCTGCAGCCACATGGCCTGGCCCTTGCTGCCTGGTGAGCTGTGGGGACACCAGACTCCTGAGCAGCACAGCCAGCCTTTGCTCCTTTTCTCTGACAGAAACGGAACGTCACTTTTTACTGGTAACTTATTTTCAGAACTTGAAGCCACCGCTTTCATTCCCAAGTGTGTATTGAGTTCAGACTCGTGGGGGAAAGTGCAGACACAGCATGCCCACAGGAGGGAACCCCAGCCAAGTCTCTGAGTTTGGGGACATTTACAGGGTAGCTTCTGAGAGAGCCACTGACACAGCCAGGTGTTGACCAAAGGAATCCAAATTCTTGGATTGGCTTGGTCATGGGGATGCTGTTGGTCAGAAATAGGACAGTGGGTTGAGGCAGGACAGGAAGGTCTTGGGGTACGTTTGACGCTTCTCCCTGCTGGCCACTCTGCCCTGCGGCCCACTTGGCAGGAGAAGCTCAGGTGGGATCAGTGCCATCCTTCCTGGCGTGGCGCAGAGCAGTGCAGGGCCCCGCTGGTGGCTCTCGGCCTTCTCGGCTCCCTTCTCAAGATCCTCCGGGGACCCTGCTGCCTGCTCTGCCAGCCCTGGCTCTCGGAAGGAATGCATCATCTGACCTTTTTACAGATGATCAGACGGCCCGGACCTCTTGGTGGCCACATTCTCCCTGGGGGTTTACTTCCGCTCACAGAGGCACCCCTGCAGATAGGCCCAGCAGGGAGCCTGTTTCGCTTGTCAGCTCACTCCAGCTTCACAGACGTGCAGAAAGCAGAGCCATGTAGCCTTTCTTTTCTGTGAAGACACTCAGCCCCTCTCCACGGCCACCGTCCAGGGCAGATGGCGGAGGGCCTGCCAAGTGTGGGCAGGACCCTGCGTGAAGGAGGGCCCCTCAGCCCTCCCTCTTTGGTCCTTGGACCTTAGCCTTTTCTTCCTTTGCAAAGTCCTTGAGGCACAGGCCGGGGTCAGCAAGTGAGCACTTTATAGCCCTTCACCGGAAACTGCTGCCGCAGGGCCCGGGTGTCACCCAGCCCTTTCAGTTTTCCGGCCACGACGCGTCTGAGCCCCACCAGCAGGCGGCCATCCGGGACTGTACCCGGCTTCCAAAGGGCCTCTTTGTCAAGGTGTTTCAGTTTTTCTTTCTTTTAAAAGTCTGTTTCCAGAGGAAGGACCCTTTGTGTCGGTCTGACACTGTGAGCCTGGGTGGCCAGCCTCAGAGTCGGTTGTTTTCAATTTCCCATCGGAACATTCCTCCTTTCCTGGTCACAGCCATGTGCTCATTCCATTCTTTTTGTAGACTTTTGGGCCCACGTGTTTTATGGGCATTGATACATATATAAATATATATATATAAATATATATGAGTATATTTTTTTAAGTTTCCTACACCCGGAGGTTGCATGACTGTACGGCCGGCATGTCTTTATATTGTACACAGATTTGCACGCCGAACTCGGCAGCTTGGGGGAGAAGAAAAATGCCTTTGTGTTCCCCTCTCGTGACATTTGCTGACTCAAAAGATGGAGATTTTTCTGTAACGTAACAAACCCTTGGAGGAGAGGGGGGAACGTTTGCGTCTTATTGAACTTATTCTTAAGAAATTGTACTTTTTATTGTAAGAGAAATAAAAAGGACTACTTAAACATTTGTCATATTAAGAAACAAAGTTTATCTAACACTTGTGACATACCAATAATAAAGTTTATTGTATTTATGTGGGAACAGTGTTCTAGGGGAACTACGCGGAGTTCAAGTGAACTGCCTGTCTCTTCATTTGATTTGGAGGAGTTTTGTTTTGTTTTGTTTCCTTTGTTTCCTTTATCTTCTCGGGCGGGGGGGGGGGGGGGGGTTGAGGTGAGCACTGCCCCCCTGGCCCCATGGCCGTTCGAACCGATGGAGAACCGGTGGGCCAGAGCGCCCTTTCCGCACAGCGCGTTGGCTTTTTATTCCTTTTAGATGGTGTATGGCTAAGATTTCACTTTACGCCGTCGTGAGCTGTGCGAGCACTGTGGTTTCAGGTTCTACTTTGTACCGACAGGAACCCATTTCTTCCTTGTAACGAAGCCGAGCTGGCTCCTCGCTCAGCTCGCTTTGTCTCTGACATGATTAAACGTCTCCTATGGAAAGAAACGAAGTGACGCTTCTGTTTGTTTCTTGGTGTGTGTGCTCCGTGCTGGAGGCTCTTTTCCCACTTCTGAGAATGACACACAGAACACACACATAAGCGGGGCCGACCCTGTTCACCGAGAGCTCGGCACAGGCCCGGTGGTCCGCGCCACCGCCTCCACCTGACGCCTGTGCCTGCTGGGAGCGGCCGCCTGCTTCCTCTGTAACTTCAACAGTTGTCCGGTTGTCTGGACCTCCCAGGGGGTCTTTCCTTCGCTCAGTGGGGTCGGAAGTGTTCTCATTTTGTTCTGTTGGGTGGATCTGCATCAGCTGACAATGTCCTGAAGGCCGACCCCACCTCCACTTCCCCTGGTGCCCAGTTCTTGTACCTCGTCATACAACTTGTTACTCTTGTGGTGTCAATAAAGACCATGCATTGCCCTCTCGCCTCTGGTTTCTGCCTGTGTGCTCTTGTCCTTGCTGGCTCGTGGGCCAGGGCCCGCAGGGCTGGCCCGCCTGCACTCAGCCTGGGATGGGGGGTACCTGTAGTCCTTGCAGTGTTCTCTCTCCAAACTTTGGGGAGGTGAGCTGGACATGATCTCAGAGGAAGACAAGGCCCAAGAGCCTAGGCTCTGCCCTTTCCCCCAGCTGGGCACATGCCCCCCGCCTCCCCCCCACCCCCACAATCTGCAAACTCCCAACCACAACCTCCGCCGAGCAACACACTGCCACCCCCAGACCATGCCACCATCCTCCTTGGCTGCCCAGCCCTGGAACTACCTACTGGGGTGACAGATGGGTAAAGGCGGCCTCCTGGGCCGCCACATGTGGTTCTAGCCCACTCCTGGGGCCTGTCCAAGGTGCTGCTGCCCACTGCACAGCCACTGTCCCTCTACCAAGTCCGGTTCTTATCTCTCCTTTCACAGCTGCCACCCAAGGTACTCGAACATTCTGCATACAATACCCCCTCCCAAGTTTGCTCCCTGAAACAAACCCCCCCCCCCCCCCTAGAATGGGCCACAGAATGAGGTATGTGGAGCATAGCCACCCAAGCTGACAGCACAGCTGCCAAGCCGCAGCCTGGAGAACAGGAGTGCTTGGAGTCGGACACGGGGCTGGGGGCCTGGAGCTGGGGGCTGGGGGTGGTTACATATTCTCCCTGCCAAACGGGATGGCAGCTGTTGAGAGGCTACAATATACTGAGGGCCTCTTCAGGCTTAAGGTGGATGTTTATGAGAATGTATTTATCAATTTACCCCAAACGAGAGGATCTTATTCTTACAGTTCTCATTTCTGAAAACGACTACAAGTATTTCCAGCTCTCGGGCCAGGAGGCTCCTGGGGGCTGCTTCAGGTTTATTAGAATCGAGGTTTATGTGACACATCTTTTGGGTCATTTTATCTCAAAGTGACTTTTTAATGTATATTACAAAGTGTTGATACTTTCCTACCTTGAGAGAGTATGAAATTCCACAACCACACTGCAGAGAGAACTCCCCCGCCTCTGGGAGGAACCTGCCCCGAAAGTGGTATGTGCACCTCTTGTCCATGTTTCTGCATTTGTGCCACTGCTTCTATAAAAGTAAATCTTGGCCCAGCCGGTGTGGCCCAGTGGTAGAGGGTCGACGTATGAACCAAGAAGTCACTGTTCGATTTCTGGTCAGGGCACATGCCCGAGTTGTGGGCTCCATCCCCAGTGCAGGAGGCAGCCGATCAATGGTTCTCTCTCATCGCTGATGTTTCTTTCTCTCCCTCTCCCTTCCTCTCTCAAACCAATAAGTACATATATTTTAAAGTAAATCTTGGTGTTTCTAATGTATATATTTATAGTACATGGCGATGTACTGTAAGTAACGTTTTGCTCTCACCTTCTTCTCTGAAGCGTGTCACTGAGATCCGTCCACATGGACGGTCACCCACTGGGTTATTCATTGGACGTGCTGTGTGCCGTGTCGTTGCTGACTGTGCACAGCCTACACCCATCCCTCTGGATAGATGTGCAAGCTGTTGCCCATTTTTCTCCCCTGATAGCACTGAAGCGAGCACCCGTGTGTCCTTGCACCCGTGGCGGCGTCTGAGCGGAGTTGCTGGTCAACTGGTGTCAGCACTGTGAGAACGGTTGCTCCCCGCATCTGTGCGTTTCCACACGCAGGGCACTGACTGGGTAAGGCGCTTCCCACGGCAGCAGCAGCACTTGCTGCCCTGCTTTCTCATGGCAGCCGCCCTGGTGAGTGGGGTATCCTGTTTCCACTTGCATGCTCGCTGCTTACCTCTATTGCTGTGTACAGGCGACCCCTCACTTCGCAGCTTTACAGACGTTTCCATGGTAGATGCCTGTGGCTCAGGGTCTATCTCAGGTTCCAGCACTTCTGAGGACACACCTGCTGTGGGAGCCCTTCCCCTTGCTTCCCTCTCACTATGGACTGCTCCGAAGGCCCCTCCACACACACGCGCACACACTGGGCAGCTGGCACTCCCAAGCAAGTCATGCAGGGACACCTAAGAGACAGCACCCCAAGACACAGAGCCACGGTCCTCTCATTCCTGGTCGTGGAAACGATGCGCCCTCACTTCTGCCACATTCTGTAGCTTAGAAGCCAGAAGAGGCCAGTGCAGACTCCAGGGGAGAAGATTGCAAGGAGCACATGCACGAGGGGCAGAGACCTTGGAGACGGTCATAGAAGCTGCCCGAACAACCTCCCTCCCCTCCCCTCACTTCACCTTCTCAAAACTCTCCTCCCCTCCCCTCCCCTCCTCTCACCTCCCCAAAACTCTCCTCCCCTCCCCTCCCCTCCCCTCCTCTCACTTCAGTTCACCACTTCACATGAGGTTGACCACCTTCTCATGGGCATGTTGCTCTGGTTCATCTGCAGATCCTGCTGGCTTCTCTATTCATAATTCATCAGCCCCCTCTCCTGGCCCCGCACCCTCTCTCATCTGGACCCTTCACCCTCTTCTGCCTTTCACCCCTCTGGTCTCAGCATGGGAGCTGGAATGATCCTGCCGCTGTGCACGCCCCTGACTCTCTTGCTGACATGACACTCATCCTGCCAGCTTATCTGCTGCATCAACTAGCATCCAGGTCTGAGACTGTGAGGTTCACTCCTACTCTCCCAGAGACTAAAACCTCTGGCTGGGTTTGCTCAGTGGATAGTGTCAGCCTGTGGACAGGTTCAATTCTGGTCAGGGCACATGCCTGGGTTGTGGCTTGATCCCAAGTAGGGGGCATGCAGGAGGCAGCTAATCAGTGATTCTCTCTTGTCATTGATGTTTCTCTCTACCTCTCCCTTCCTCTCTGAAATCAATAAAAAAAATATTAAACATTTTAAAAATAAATAAGTAAATACCTAAGAGATCTGTAATCACCTGGCTGAGTGACAGGCCCCGTCTTGGCCCCTTTGCCTGTTTGGCTGTCGGAGTTAGGAAGTCAAGAGTTTTAAAATACATTTGGTGCTAATCCTTACCTGTTTTAAGCTTCAAATGTCTTCTAGTCTTTAGATTTTCCCTCTTTTTGTTTTTTCTTGCAATGGAAAAAGTTAAACATAAAAGAAGCAGTAGAAATAACACCACAAAGAAAGATCATTGGTGAATGACTTAATGAAATATTAAAACTTCCAAACTAATTACACTGACCTTACCAAGCAGACCAAGAAGCCAGCCCAGCAGGGAGCCAGCCCTTACAGCCCACACAAAGCTCATGCAAATGTTTAAGGTCATGAACAGACAAGTCACAGATGATACAATCTAACTAATAATAGGATAACATGCAAATTGGTTGGGATGCTGTCACATAACAACCAATCAGCAGACTGTCCCCACCCTCTGTGCCAGCCCGGAGAGATGAGGCTCGCGTTCCCTCCCCCTCTAATTAATTCCCTTTTTTTTTTTTTTTTTTAAATATATTTTATTGACCTTTTACAGAGAGGAAAGGAGAGAGACAGAGAGTCAGAAACATCGATGAGAGAGAAACATCGATCAGCTGCCTCCTGCACATCTCCTACTGGGGATGTGCCCGCAACCCAGGTACATGCCCCTGACCGGAATCAAACCTGGGACCTTTCAGTCCGCAGGCCGACGCTCTATCCACTGAGCCAAACCGGTTTTGGCTAATTAATTCCCTTTTAATGTGCACAGATGTTGTGCACTGGGCCACTAGTCTATAATAATAAAAGCATAATATGCTAATTAGACTGGACAGCTGAATGACCTTCCGGATGTCCTTCCAGACAAAGCTGCGCAGCGGGGGCTGAGGCAGAGGCAGTTAGGGATGATCAGGCAGGCAGGTGAGCAGTTAGGGGCAATCAGGTAGGCAGGTAGAGTGGTTAGGGGCGATCAGGCAGGCAGGCGAGCATTTAGGAGCCAGCGGTCCCAGATTGCAAGAGGGATGTCCTGGATTGTGAGAGAGTGCAGGATTGGCTGAGGGACTCCCCCACCCCCATGCACGAATTTTGTGCACTGGGCCTCTAGTTGTTCAATAAACCTGGAGAAAACTAGAAGGCTTGTGGGCCATCTGACACATCCCCGAGGGAGAAGCACTGTTCAGGACCTGCATATGTTTAAATGGTTCGGCCTGCCACTGCTAGGGAGTGTGCGCACATGTAGGTGGGACGGTCCTGGCCAGAGACAGACGTGAGACAAGGTGTTAAGAACCTGACAGATTACTGTGCCTCAATCTGGTAGCTTCCCTTCTGGGAATCCGTCCCAAGGACATAAATCCAATGACAGGAAACAGTTTCTGCACAGAGATGCTCATTGCAGCAGCATTTAATGCGAACTTGGAAACACCTGGAAATAGCTATTGGGAGCTGGTGGGTGCCCAGTGCTCAGTGCCTGGCAGCTGCATTAGGCCGGGGGGAGGGGGGGGGCCACTGTCACCAGCTGGCGCTGTGTGTACTGGGAGGCATCATGTGCAAGGTGAACAGAACTCAAAGCCCTGCCTTTGAAGATCCCCTGAGGAGGAAAGGGGTGGAGTTGCCTTGAAGTAATGCAGGTGGACAATGGTTTCTCCTTGACGGAGGGTGTGTTGACGACATCACATTTACACTAGGAAGACGCCCTTTCCCAACTCTGCCCACAGAGCGGTCTCCTCAAGGAATCCTGTAGCTGTTCTAAAGGGAAGTGTGGAATGTTGGGTATTCTCTAGCATATACCCCTCTGACCCCCAGAACCAGAAGGGCATCCTGTCCCACTGTCCTGAGGGGCCAGGGTGGGGACATCTGCCTGGCAGAGCCACTATGGGGGCGCCCTCAGCTTCCCAGGCCAAGGTTTGGGGTGATGCACCCGACCACCGTGCAGGACTGGTGTGAGGGCACCTAGGCCGAGGGCCCGAGCACGGAGTGGGCTCCCGGCCATGGTGGCGTTTATCACTATGGTCATTACCCTATCGTATGTTCTGTGTTATGCAACAGAACATCATTGTTAGTAAGATGCTCAGTGTGGTTAGATGAGCTCAAAGCAGTTCCTGGGGGCAGGGGCACCGTGAACGCTGGGCCATCCAGAACCCCTGCAGGACAGAGGGGCTCAGTCCCTATTCCCCCGGCGGCCCTCACATTGAGGGGGCTGTGACATGATCGATGGCAGCCAGAGAGAACCAGGAACAGGGCAGCAGAGGAGAAGCCAGCAGCCAGGTGGTCCCAGCCCCTTCCTCGTGGCGGGGTCCCTGCTGGTGCCCAGGGTCCCTGCTCCTGGGTGCTGTGAGCCCCTGCTGTGTGCCCAGAAGGGAACCCTGTCCTGAAGCAGCCTGGATGCTAGGCAGAGGCCAGACCCGGGCTGTGCATTCACCAAGGATGTGCATGGCCAGCCTACAGGGTCTGTCCCATCAGGAGAAGACAGGGACCCCAGGAACAGGAGCACATGACCCACCCAGGGCCCATGTGAGGCCCTGCAGAAACCCGTGATGCAGGTTTGGAGGAACAGTGCTTCCCATCTTCTGTGTCTGAAATGTTCAGGCCACGTGGCAGAGGGGCCTGAGACTGCGTGCAGGTCCTGCCCTGGCAGGTCCGTGTCTGGGTGACTGGGCCCCAGTCTCTGCTGCCTCCCCTGGCTTTGAGGACCGTGGGAAGCCACAGCGCCTCCCTGGACTGGGCTCTGCTAATGCCCAGTTCCAGTCTAACCCCCATAAACGCTGGCTTGGGGACAAGGCCTCCGGGAGTGCAGATTAATGTCATCGGCTCCAGGCAGTTTTTTATAATTAAATATATCCAGTTCCTTTGACCAGGTGTGAAAACACTTTCATACGTTGTTAACGTGATCTGATGGACTTGAAAATTCACTGCCAGGAGCCGAGGGTGGGGGGGAGGGGGGTGGTTTGCTTCAGGCTTCTCGGCCTGGGGGTGGGAGTCATGGGACCCTCCCTGCCCTCAACAGGGACAAGGGAGGCTGGACACTCTGGACTCCCCAGGCTTTCTGAAGTTTGGGGAGACTTCATCCGCCAGCAGGTGCCACAGGGAAGACGGGTGCAGTGTTTGGGGACAGTGGGGACAGCAGGGGCTGGGCGGGAGCCCCCCACCGGCTCTGGCTTCCTGGGGAGGCTGGTGCGACCCTGTCACCACCTGCTGGTGATTCCAGGAACTGCAGTAGTATTCAGCTGCCCACCCCTCACCCTTGGCCCCTACCCACCTCTCAGTCCCCAAGCCCTGACCCTGATTAGAGGAGGATGGAGGTCAAACCATCCCCCACCATCGCAAAGCAACCTTTGGGTGCATTCTTTGAGTTCTGAGTCCTTTCCTGCAGGACGCCGCGTGGAGCCCACCGCCTCTGGGAGCAGCATTGACTTCTGGGCAATGAGGACACCTGGGGGGCTCTGGACTGAAGGTGCCCCTGGACCCAGCAGTGGCTCTTCTCTTGGTGGCCCCGCAGCTCAACACTCATCTCTCATTCACTCGGTGTGGCTTTGCCGGGTGCTGGGCACTGTCTGGATGGAGGAGAGACTGATGGAGGGGCCCACACTCTGGTGGTGGAAGGTGAGACGTGCTAGAGAGAAAGCAGAGCAGAGCTGGGGCCCGGGGGCCGCAGGACAGCAAGGAGGAAGGAGCCACCCTGGGCCAGTGCGAGGCGGGCAGAAGGAGCACCGGCCGCCGTGGCAGTGGCCGGTGAGGTCGGTGAGGTCAGCACAGAGTGAGCTCCGAGACCACAGGTCCCCAGGGCTCCTTCCTGGAAGGTGAGCACCCCGCGCCTCAGTCCCTAAATGGCGTGGTCCTCGTACTCCCTGGCGCTTGGCCAACCCCGTGGCCTTCACTCGGTCAGGGCCCTGTGCTTCCAGTGCCTCAGCCTGAGACTGTAATAAGCTCTGATTCACTGGGGATAATGATGTTCCCGGGGCTACAATTATGCTTAGATATTTGACTCAATTAAAACTGCCAGCAGTCTTGAGAAGCAGGCGTCATTCTTTGCAGAATAAGCCGGGGCTCCCAGAGGTTAAGACCCTCAGTTACAGGCTGTCCCTAGTCCCAAAGCTGCCGGCTACGCCCATGGCCCCCAGCGGGATCACCTCTTGGATAGTTGCACCTCATTCTCTGCAACTTTCCAGACAGAAGAATTTAAAATTGCTCAAGGCCTTTCACAGGCTTTGGGGGGAGGGGGGGTCCTGGCCTTTAAATGCAGGACTTTCCACCCGTGCCTCCCCGACAGTGAGGGCCGGCCAACCTTTGTGCAGTTGGAGAGGCTTGCGGGGAGAGGGGGACATAGCAACAGCTGATAACTCTGCCAGACCCTTTCCACGTGTTTTCTTCCACTGCAGGTCCTCTTTCCAAAGGCCACCTGCTGAGCTGAGCGGCGGCGAGCCAGAGGACGTGCCCGTGGAGGTGGAAGGCGCTCTGTCCCTCCATGGCTGCAGGTGTTGCAATAGCATCCCCCTCCTTCCAAAACTTGGCAAAAGTCTCGAGGAGCAAACCAGCCACATATTTGCCGCTGCTCCTTCCTGAAGCTGGACTTTGTTTCTTCAGAAACACCGCGTCCTGCCTGCCTCTTAGACACGCCCGGACCCCCCGCAGTCTCTGCACGTGGCCTACCGGCCGTGGGGGAGGCTGCCTTGCTGTCTGGGTTCCCGGCATTTTAACCTCGTTGCACCAGCTCCACGCAGCTCCGAAGGCTTTCCGCTTCCCCTCCCAGAGACACCACTTTGTGTACCTGGTTCAGGTCCGTCTCGAGAGATTCCCATCGGTGTGTGTGTGCGTGTGTGTGTGTGTGCGTGCGTGTGTGTGTGTGTGCGTGTGTGTGTGCGTGTGTGTGTGCGTGTGTGTGTGTGCGCGTGTGTGTGTGCGCGTGTGTGTGTGCGTGTGCGTGCGTGCGTGCGTGCGTGTGCTTGTGTGTGTGTGTGCATGTGTGTGTGTGTGCGTGTGTGCGTGCGTGTGTGTGTGTGCGTGTGTGTGTGCGTGTGTGTGCGTGTGTGTGTGTGTGTGTGTGTGTGTGTGTGCGGGCGCTGTTTTGTGTTCGGTTTATTTGAATCAACATTACTTCCTATACTCGCTTCCGTTTATCAACATGATCGGCATACTGCTGGTATTTTCTCTCCTGTTTTACTGGAAACACATATGAATAAGTATTAATAGGTAAATGTCCTGGTTTGTGGGAAAGAGTGTTTATAATTTAAAGCAGCTAATACATGAGTTCAGCAAGGGGACTGGGTAACAGATCAACATACAAAGGTCATGTGTATTTCTAGAAACTAGTAACAAACAGAAAACAACTCTATTCACAATGGCATCAAAACAGAGAGAGACACGTAAGAATAAACCCAGCGAAGGAAGTGCAGCATTTTTGCATTAAAAGCTAAAACACTGCTGAGAGGAAGCAGGGAGACGTGAACCTGGAGAGACACCCATGACGAAGGACTGGAAGACTCAAGGCTACTTCTCCCCAAAGTGGTTTGTAGAGTCAGCAAAACCCTAGAAGGATCTCAGGATTTTTGGGGGGTGGGTGAGGAGGTGGGCCGGGGTGGGGGTAAGAATTGGCAAACTGACCATAAAATTTACTTGGAAATGCAAAGGACTCACAATATCAAAAACAATTGTGAAAAAGAACAAAATTGGAGCATTTATACCATCAGACTTTGAAACTTGTTCTAAAGCTGCAGTAATCATGGCTATTAGCACAGGGAAGACACAGATTAATGGACTAAAAATTAAAGTTCATAAATAAATGCTTGCATTTATGGTCACCTGATTTTCAACTAAGCTGCCCAGGAAAACCAACACATGAAGGGTCCTTTCAACCAATGGTGCTGGGCACGCAGCCACCACAGGCAAGAAGATGAATTAGACCCTCGCCTCGCAGCATTCACCAAGTGGGTTACAGACCTAATTTTAAATTCTTAGGAGAGAATGTTGGGGAGATTGGCTTAGGCAAGATGTTCCTAAATGTGGCACTAAAAGCATGATCCATAAAAGAAACAATGACGGATTGGACTTCATCAAGATGAAAACATTTGCATGTCACTAGACATCATTAAAGAATGAAAAGACAAGCCACACACTTGGGGAAAAGAGCTACAAATGGTGTATCTGGTAAGGAACTTGTGTCTAGCCCAGCTGGTGTGCTCAGCGGTGGAGCACGAACCAAGAGGTCACTGGTTGGATTCCCGGTCAGGGCACATGCCTGCTGGCAGGGCCAGTCCCCAGTAGGGGGCGTGCAGGAGGCAGCAGATAGATGTTTCACTCTCATTGACGTTTTCTCTCTCTCTCTCTCCCTCTCCCTTACTCTCTCTCTCTCAAATCAATAAAAACATACTTTACAAAAAAAAAAAAAAGAACTTTTGTCCAGGATAAATAAAGAACTTTTACAACTTCAAAAGAAGATAAACAATCCAATTTAAAATGGGCGCAAGATATAAATAGCTATTTCACCAACGGATACGTACCGATGACTAATAAGCACATGGAAAGATGCTGAATATCATCCGTCAGGAGGGGATACACTCAGCCCTCCACACCCCCTGGAATGCTGCCATCAGAGACAACCCCCAGGCGACCAGGATGCAGAGCCTCCACCCACCCTCCTCCCGGCGGCTGGGAAGGTCACAGGGAAGGCCCCTGTGGGAACCAGCGGGCGGCTCTCCAAAATGTGAAGAACAGACCATAAACACACATGCAAACAACTGCTCTTTGAAGCCATCGCCACTGGTGAGCTACCCACTAGCGACAGCGATCTGTGGGGACAGGATCCGAAGGAGGAGAAGGACAGCGACTGGTCCAGTGCAGGCTGAGGGCTGCGTAAGCCTCCGGTGTCCTCCTAGCACACTCCAGGGGAAAATGGATGTGGTGTGTTCATAGCACGGGACACGAATCAGCAGCGCAACACAGTCACGGCTCTTCACCCCTGAACTAGATGCCTCTCACAATGTAATGCTGCGTGAGGAAAAGCTAGGACCAAAGCAACAGAGTGTGTGCGCAGAAAAGCTACCTCACGACCCCCGGCAACGGGCCAGGGACACCGGTGGGTGGTGTCGCTCTCGCAACCGTCAGGGACAGAGCAGACTCACAGTCCGCAGTTCACCTAGCTCGGTGCCGTGTTGGTGGCCAGCGCTGTTTCATGCCTGGGGCACATTTAAGAAAAGGACTAGACCTACCACGTGACTCACAGTGCCTCTCCGAGGTGTACACCTGCTGTGGTCTGAATCACCGTGTCCCCCAAATGCACGTTGACATTGTAACTCCCAGAGTGATGATAGTAGGAGGTGGATGGGTCCCGGGGGTGGAGCCCTCATGAATGGGGTTAGTGCCCTAATAACAGGGACCCGCAGAGCCCCCCGCCCCTCCTCCACGTGAGGACACAGCTGGGAGAAGGCATGTCTGAATAGGGAGGGCAAAGGTGCAAACTGCAGGGCTCGGGGTGCCAGCAGAATGGCCACGCTGGAGGTGGCTGGTGAGGAGCAAAGGGACAGGACAAGAGGTTCGCCCGCCGTTTCTGAGGGGCTGCCTCCTGCCAGCGTCCCAGGGGGCCTCTGCTGCAGGTTGTGCGCTCGGGGACCACGGTGGTGCCTTGTCCGGAGGACACCTCTAATGTGCTGACCCCCTGACCCCACAGCCTGGCTCACGAGGACGACCTGGCTGGGAATTTGGGAAACTGGGGCTGAGTCAGCCAGTGGGAAGCTGGGCTGAGAGAGTGAGAGACCTGCTTGGAGCTGGGGGCCATGAGGGGGGGGGGGGAGGGGGGACACTGGGCAGGCGAGGTGACAGGGACAGAGGGAGGAGCAGTCAGACGCCAGGAGAAGCCGGCGGGTGAAGCACTGGCCGGGCCGCCTGCGCCTGTGCCCTGAGCCGGCCTGAGTGCATCTCTGTGCCTGGCTGTCACCGGGCTGCCCCGGTCCTGGCTGTGCCGGTGGCAGCAGGGAGTGCAGCAGTGCAGCAGGGCGGGCCTCGGCCCTACGCGTTTGGAGGAACATGTGGTTCTGATTGTGTCGCCCTGGAATAGAACACTCCTGGCGGCAGGGGAAGGGCCATGGCTGCACTCTAGTGTCCCACCCCAAGCGTGGGGCCTCCCAGGGCTGCGGGGCCACCTGCAGGGCCCCTGTGCTGGCCGCCGCGCCCGGAGGACCTCATGGCAGCGGTGGCACGCGCCGCTGTTCGGGCAGCAAGTCTGAGAAGTTAAGAAGTGCCCCGTGTCACCAGGACCTCATCCACAAGGTGCTGATGTGACCGATGGCGGCTGGGGTGTCGGTGGCACAGCTCAGACGCGGGGGCTGGGACAGGGTCCGTGATGCATCAGTGTCGTCAGCCCTGGGGCGTGCCCTCCTCTCACCCTAGGGAGGGCTCCCCGGAGTCCGAGGCCCATGCGGAGACCCACCCCCCCACCCCCCCAGCCCTGCCCTCCTGCTCGGCGTCCCTGCCGGTCTGGGGGGCGAGCGTCCGGCTCTTCCCGCAGAGCTGCCTCCACCTCTTCTGGGCAGCGTGGGCCAGTTCCTCCTTTTCATTTCTTATTTGTTGTCTAAGCCCTTTGTGATTTCATTTTTTCTTATTTCCTCGTGTCCTAAGCCTCCTGCCAGTATTTCAGAGCACGCGGCTGTGAATGGGTTCACGCTCCCCCCTCCATCCTGCTCCTGTCTCGCTGCACAGGGTCCCAGGAAGACAGGACAAGGCTGGGGCGGGGGTGGGGGTGGGGGTGGGGCGGCAGGTGGGGGCGTGGTCTGAGGTCCTCCTGGCATTGGGGGTCCCCCTTCTCTCAGCACAGTGTCCCTCCTGGTGACTGACGCCCCCGAGGACAGACCCCCAGGAGAGCGCTAACAGGCTGAGAAGATGCAGCGAGGGTCGCGGGTCAGGGTCTGAGCAGTTCCTTTCCCAGTCACACAGCCCCAGGGGGCGTTTTCTCTTCTCTCACCAACATGGATCTAACGATCTAAAATCTAACGTTTGCTTTAAGCCACTGGACTCGGCGGAGCTGGCTTGTAGGCCATGCTGGATGCCAGGCTTGAGTGTGGCAGTGAGAGCAGAGCTTGCTGAGCAGTGACACTCGGAAGCCACAGTGACGGGGTCGGGAGGCTGCTAACAGGGAGGGCGCCCTGGCTGGGCCCATGGCTGTCACACCGGGACATGCAACCAGCTCAGCTGGAGGCAAAGGCACCTGAAGCATCACATGGCTCTGACTCGGCCTCTTCCTGGGAAGCAGAAGGGCACCAGCCCTCAGGCTTGGGTCTCGGAATCCATCCGTGTTGTTGAGAAGCCCAGTCTGCACCGGCGCTGGGGAGACAGAAAGTGACAGAAGCGGGGCCTGGATCCCAGGGTCTGCACGCTGCCCCAGGGCCGAGGGGGTCCCGCAGCTGGGGGGGAGATGGGGTGAGGGCCACCTGCGGGCTCACTCACGGTTATTTATGAGCTCCCCCTGGGCTCACCAGAGCGGGAGGCGTCCCAGGGCCTGACCCCTGCCCAGCTCCAAGCCTGCGGAGGGACGCGCCGGCCGCAGCTGCAGCCACCCACAGAGGAGGCCGCGTCCAAGCGCTGGGGGAGGCGAGCGTGCTGAAGCAGAGCGCATACTTCTGTCCTAAAATAGATTGTATCTGAAAAAGAAAACAGATGGAGACGGGGATGGTGTTCTTCTCCTTTATGAAAAGCACAGGAAGCAGCAGAAAGCTGGGCCGCCGCCCCTCCCCCACCCTCCCCCACTTGGTGCAGGATCAACTGCTGAGGGTGGGGTGGGGTGGGGGTGCAGGACTGGCAGGTGCCCTGAGTGGAGCTGCTTAACCGAACCCCCTCCCCAGGCTCTTTCCATCTGCGGTGACACAAAGTCAAAGGGGACCACAGGGAGGTCCCAGTCTTGCCCCAGGACAGCCCCAGGGGAGGGCCTTCGGGGGCGGGTGGAGGAGGTCACTGGGCGACCACCTGGGCAGCTCCTGGGCCCCCAGAGCTTCTCTATGCCAGGCCTGGAGCAGGCAGGTCCTGGGTTCTGCTGTCAGGACGAGCAAGACTGATGGAGGGAACCAGATGCCTTTCGGAGGCAGCGAGAAGTGATGCCGGACTAGAGGGGGCAGGTTTGCTGGCTGCCTTTTACAACTGACTGTAAATGTTGCCTGGGAGCCTTGAAGTGTTAGGGCTGCATCATGATAACCATTATCTGGTCAAAGCCGCAAAACTCCTCCTGACTCCGTGTGTCCTCATGTGGCTCACTGTGCAACATGGAGGGAAAGAAAGCATTTCGTTTCTCAGAGAAGTGCCTCCATTTATGTGTGTTAAACTTGCTACATTTGTCTGGGATGATTTGCGTGTGAATAGAAACATAATTGTTAAGATAAGATTTTATGACCAGCGGTTACTGTGGAGAGATGGGTTTTCTCCTATTGACACATTATATTTGTGCCAATGTTAAGGATGCATTTCTTCTCATATTGGGTGCTCTTATCATCTACAGCAACTGAGTGGGGTCCATACCTCACACACAGACACAGGATCTTAGGAAGAGCCCAGAAATTCACGGGCTGCTTGGGAGTGAAGCTTCGGTGAGGGGGTGAGAGAAAACCGACTCCCAAGCGGTACACAGAGAAGCAAATACTCTGAAATGTACAACTGAGTCCACAATCAAGCATACTGTGTTCTTATTGCAGATCCTGTGACCCAAAAATGGCCTGTGCAACTGAGGCTGCAGCTGAATTCCCCGGCAGGACAACCCTCGTTGCTCCTGGTCAGTTCTCTGGGAATAGATGAGCCACACAGGACCCTGGTGAAGGGTCCCCAGAATACAGGGCTCGCCTCAGTGCACAGAGGTGGGAGGTGGTCTCTGGACCCTGCATTGCAGCGTGATGGGATTCGGTTTGGAGGGAAGACAGCAGGGCCCACACTCTTGGCTGTCCCACAGAGGACAGGAGTGCTATGCAGCCAGCGCAGTTAGTACCAGGCTCCCCACAGGGCTCATGCTGCTGCCGGTGGGGCAGCTGGAGTTGAAAACAGGGTGGACTTCCTGCCCTGCCATGGCCCCCCCATGCAGCCAGGGCCGGTTGGAAGAACTCCCACGATCCCTGGGTTTCTGTCTGAGGTATGTTTACAAACACTGAACACCTGGATCAGCTGGCACAGAAGGCCACACCCTCATGTAGTGGGAGGGCTGCTGTCAGCAGGAAGTACACAGCCCGTGCTCTTTAAGTGCTGAGATCTATTAATTTTTCTTTTTCTTTGAAATATTAAAATTATTTTTTTGTCCAAGTGTCTAATTTGTCTTTATAAATAACTAGAGGCTTGGTACACAGATTTGTGCACTGGTGGGGTCCCTCAGCCTGGCCTGTGCCCTCTTGTAATCCAGGATCCCTCTGGGGACGTCGGACTGCTGGTTTTGGCCCAATCCTCACAGGCCAGGCTGAGGGACCCCACTGGTGCACAGGCCTCTAGTATGCATATAAGATCTTTGGTTAATCTCTTCCCGCCTCCTCCCACCCCCTTCCCTCTGAGATTCATCAGTCTGTTCCATGTTTCCATGCCTGTGCATTGAGCACCTGCCCCCTGGTGGTCAGTGTGCATCATAGCTACTGGTTGAACGGTCAAATGGTCTAAAGGTCGCTTAAGCTTTTATATAGAGAGATGGTTCCAAAAAAAATGAAGAGGGGCCATCCCCTGATGTGAATTAGTAAATGCAGGGCTAGTGTCTGCGGTGTCTGGTCAGCAAGACATGATGCAGATGTGTCCCACTGGCCATGCTCATCCCAGGCACGAGTTCTGTCAAGGGCGGTGGCTGGAGGTGCTAAAGACTGTTAGTAGGTTGATTTTGCTATTGTTTAATGTATTTCAGACACACACCTCTCAAGCTGTGATGAAGGACCAGAGCTTTGGAATGTCTGATTCAGGTGGACTGATGCTCTAATGAAATGCACCCAAGATGCCACGGCCAAGTCCAAGGTGACGGATGCATGCCCAGCTTCTCTCAGCTTTGCTCGACCCCCAGGGCGACGCTGGCGCAGTGGTGGTCTCAGAGCTCGGGTCACGGAGCCGGGGCTCTGAGCTGAGACGGGGCCGGTGGGGGAGGGCTGGCTCCTGCTTCCCCAGTGCCCTGCTGCCAGGAGCCTGGTCAACCCGATGACCCGGTGAGCGGCTGGGAATGGACCTGGTGTTGAGTCTCCCCGGACTCTCTGGCCTCTCCTTGGTGCCACCAGGCACACCAGTCCCTCCGCGGTGACACCTCCTCGCCACAACACGTTGGGTGGATTCGGCCGGGCTTTATCAGCATGTTTGAGTGGTTTCGTGGTTGCTTATTAATCCTGCTTCTTAAATACATGTTGATCTTTAATAGGAAACATGGTGATTCATTAAAAAAACAACAGTGTTAAAATGAGATGATGGCAGAGCTAGAATTGGACCTACATAGTGCTTGACCAAGTTCACGTGCAAAATCCAAGCGACTTGCCAGGTGGTCATTCTCACCTGCCAGCTCTCAGATTCAACCCCCGAGGACTTTCCTTGGACAGTTTCCCATCGGGAATGGCCTCCGGGTGCCGGAGGGCATTGGGGTCCACAGATGGCTGTGAAGAGATGGACGGGGAGCCTGCCTTCAGGACACATCTAGTCCAAGGGGCCACCGGGGAGGGGCAGGCAGAGGCAGGCACGGCTGGTCCCAGGCAGGGACCCAATGCCCCACGGGGTCAGGACCACACTGGCCTGTCCACCTTCATGCTCTGTGTCCAGCCTGGACTTCAGGAATTTTTGCTGATTGACTGACAGACCACCCCTTCCCCATCCCCCCTCCCCCCACGCCTGCCCAGGTGTGCGGTGCTTGAGGGAACAGGACTCTGCCGCAGGACCTGCAGCGGGAGGGGGAGTCGCCTGACAAGGTATGCCATCGACGCCCTTGGCTCGGGACCTTGTCCTCAAAAGGTCTGCCTTTCCCAAAGGGACACCCCAGACCCAGCTGGGTGGGGGCTGGGAAAACTCAGCTCAGAGTGGAGAGGGGAGGCATCTGACCCACCCTTGAACTTTTCTGGCAGGGAAGTGAAGTCCGTGAGGAAACACAGTGAGTCTGGGCTTCCTCAGGCTCTGCAGGGAGCCGCCTTGGGAGGGATAAATCAGCGTGGGAAGGAGGCAGGAAGGTGGGAGGATGGGTGAGCATGGGGGGCTTTGACCCGAAAAGTTTGCTTTCTGGGAATGACGACGTTCTGAGAGTGTGCTGTTTGCGCATATGTGTTATGTAGTGGCATGTGCGTGTGTGCACGTATGTGCCTGTGCCTATTGTGAATGCCTGTGCACACCTATGTGACTGCAGGTGTGTGCGTGCAGGTGTGACATCCTCTGCAGGTGAAGAGCGGAGACATCCCCCCAAAGGCTGCTCAGCTCCCCTGGGCTGGGGCGAGCCATCCCTTCATCCCCATCCACAGGGCAGGCCCCCACAGCCCCCCACCCCATCTAGGGCTTCTGGAGGTGGACTGTCCACAGGGAGGGGTCCTGTGCCCACTTCCACAAGAGAACAGCTCGGTGCCCAGGAACAGAGGGTGAGCACACCCCTGTCCTCGCCACCCCCTCCCCCGTCTGCATCCGTCCCTTCCCCTCCCCCACTGCCTCCGTTTGTGGCAGAAACCCTGGGTGAGGCCCAGAGAGGTGGCCCTGTTTCTCTAAAGGGCAGGCTGGGGGTGCCCTTAGGTGAAGGCAGGACCCAGAAAAGGCCCCGATGGCCTGGGAGACACACCCTGGAGTGCTCCGGGCCCCTTCCCCGTGGGGCGAGGGGCAGATGTGGCCTTTCCTGCCTGATGGTTTGCTCACCATCAGGGAAGCCCGTGCCTCCCTCAGAGGAGCACATGGACACCACACCGACCAGGTCCGTAAAGGGCCTCCTCAGGGCTGGTCCCAGGGCAGCGTCTGTGGGGGAGGCCCTGTGGGATGTGCAAGGGCAGCTGGTCACCCTCGGTGGGTGGACAGGAGCCATCAGAGGCCCTGAGGCCCACCCCCTTCCAGGACGCTCAGGGCCTGCCCAGAGGGTGACAGGCGGCTGCCCACGGTCCTGCCCAGGCCTCGGCAGGCCCCGCCGCCACCCGCTTTGCTCCTGGGAGTTGGAGCTGGCTGCTGAGGTGGGTCCTCCGGCACAGGGATGCTCCCAGATTTAAGACCTTCCTGTGTGTGTGCAGGTCAGTGCTGGGGAGCATCGAACTGGAGGCCGAGGGCCAGCGATTACCTCACGCCGGACAGATCCCAGCTGCTCTGCACAGATAAGCAGCTGCAAGCTGATTGAGTGGGAATCGTGCAAGATGGTGAGTAAGTGGGACGAGGGGGCTGGGGGCCAGGACGCCTCCCATGGCCCAACCTCAGGTTCAGACACAGCCTGGGGCTGGGTCCACTCTGCTGGGCGTTAGGTCCCGGAGGTTCTGGTGCCCCGGCTGAGCCCGCTGGCGGGCCCACAGACCAGCAGATGTGATGTGATGGGATGAGGGCGTGGACAGGGGCGGGGCCGAGGGGCTGCCCAGACCTCCTGCCAGATTTCTGACATCCTTGTGAAAAACAACAGGCCAGGGCCAAGTGTCCTCCTGGGAGAGAGGTGGGAGCAGCCCGTAGGCACGGTGACCCGTGTGGGGACGGGCAGTGCGTGCACTGGGCTCCGGGTGGCAGGTTGGGCGGCTGCAGGGCCTGACTCACTGGGAGGAAGGGGGCAAAGACATTCCACGTGAGTTTTTAAAATCCTGCCAACTTTCTAGGGAGCGGGAGCTGCGTGCGGGGAGGAGGGCTTCCTGCCAGGCCCAGCGGAGCCGCAGAGGGCCACCCCGCCTCCCTGCGGCCTCTGGAGCTGTGACCCTCGCCCTCCCAGGACCCACCTCGCCTGGCGTTCATCTTCCTCTGAGGAAGGGACAGGACAGCTCGGAGCCCACAGGTGCTGCACAGACAGGACCAGCTGACGGTGACCTCTTCCTTCCACACCCGCCCAGGGTCACCACGGCAGCACAGGCAGGAGGCAGAGGGACAGGTTGTGGGGGTTTGCCACCCTCACAGGCTGGATGGACGGAAGTTCAACTCCACCAGACACCCCCTCCCTGCCCTCATCCCCGCGTCCACACTCCCGTCGCAGGTCCTCACGCCCCCGCCACCCTCCACTGCTGCGGGTGCTGGCTGTCCGTTTGGTTTTCTGCGAGATGGGATTCTCTCTGGGACCTCCTACCAGTTCGCCCCTAGGCACCAAGCACAGCGCGGCTGCTTCCTTCTGCTCCCACTGAGCAGGCACAGCTGCCCCCAGTTCCTTACCTGTTATCAACAGGAAGGGGTCCCTGGTCTCCCCCCCGCACCCCGGTCTCTGGTTACAACATCTCCCCACACCCGTTTCCCTCTGTCACGAAGCACAGGCCCACGGGGCAGTGACCAGTCCATGGCCACCCTGCCAGACCGGAGCTTGGTCTCGGGACCCCAAGCCCGGTGCCTTTTCTACTGCAGCAGCAGGTCCCAGAAGTCACTTCCCCGCGGGAGACCCGGTCCTTACAAAGGAGCCTCGGTCAGACGACCTTGAAGCACAAGATGCCCAGGGCAACGGGGACTGGAGCCATGGCCACCGGCTCTGCCCCCTGCCCCACCAGGTGGTTGCCCGGAGGTCACCCGACAGACAGGCCAGGGTCCGAGGAACATGAACGAAAGCCCAGGACAGCAGGGGTAGCGGCAGGTGCCTGCTTCGTGCAGGTGTGGGGTTTGTCCCCAGCGAGGGAGCCAGAGGCCAGTGACGCAGGGCCTCCCGGTGACGAGCCCTCTCCTGGGCTCGGGGCGGGGGGGGCGGGGGCCTGGGCCTGCGGGACTGCTCAGAAGGGCAAGTGCCCCTGGTCTTCTCCCATTAAAAACAAACACCTTTGCTCACTTGCTTGATAATAAATCAATTTCTTTAAGTTACAAAAGGAAATTAAAAGTAAGTTTGACCCAGACTCTCACCATCCTATCAAGCTTCTCTGTCCCCCTGGAAGTGGTGAGGTAGGGCCCAACCTTGGTCCCATCTCCCTGGAAGCTGGGGTAGGGCCATGGTGGGCCTGACGCTCCTGAGAGAGGTGGGGTAGGGCCATGGTGGGCCTGACACCTCCACATGTGTCCGATAGGACCGCTGGGTCCTGCAGGTTTGCACGAACACGCTCCACGAAGCTTTTTATCTGCTTCTGCAAAACACGCCGATCCTTCCCAAGGACAGCAAAGCATTTCTTGCACATAATTTGTTGGCCATCCCTTTAACGCTGTAACTCCAGGTTCGGCTCCCATTTTTTTGAACTCTGAGTGAAAGGTTTACATTCCTGCGCGCTTCCACGATTTTTAGGAGGGACTTTAAAAACAGCCAAGTAAACGTCTGTTCTTGAGGAATAAAATGAAGCAACTGTGAGGTCACATGAAGTCCTCCTCCACCCCAATTTCAGCAGAAAAATTACTTACGTTTGGCTTTTCCCGCATAAGTCAAATGCTTAATGCGCAGCTCTCCCTTGTAAAGGGCAGGGTTCTGTCTCTCATGAATCATCCGAGTCCCCAAGGTGCAGAGGCTTTGCCGAGCCCAGTCAAGTGGTTTGAGATGAACTAACGGGACGAGCAGCTCCTTCAGGAAGTGGGGACCGGGGTCAGTTCAGAGCCCTGGTGCTGCGGAGCCCGGAAAAGGCAGTGGCCTGGCCCCTGACTGCTCCCAGGGTTGCCCTGCCCGGGGTGGCCTCCCAGGAGTGGCTCTGACTCATCACTCTCTTTTCCTTGGCTGAGCATGGCCTGTGACGTCAGGTGTCCAGAAAGTAGTAAAAATGCAGTCAAGCTGGCAACATCAGCACTTGGAGCTGAGCGCCCTCTCGCCTGGGCCAGGCAGCGTTCCGAGGGCCTCCCCTGCATCCCCTCACTGCACCCATGGGGCTCTGGGCGGCTCATCAACCCTGGGGACAGATGGGGAAACTGAGGTCCTCAATGAAGCAGCTGCTCAGGCCGCACAGTGGGAAGTGGGTTGAGCCCCGAGACCCCGAGCTCACCCAGCCTGTGTTCCGCCCTGACAGCAGAGGCTTCAGGGAGCGAGAAACGTAAAAAGCCCGCAGAAGCCTGAGCCATCGAAGGACAACAAGCCATGAACTGTTGTTTTATGTCTATCAAATGGGCCAGCGCGAGAGTGCCTGTGCCCTTCCTTGTCCAGCCTCTGCGTCCCGGGGGTGGGGGTGGGGGGCTGGAAGTTGATTAATAGCCCTAGGAGAGAAGCTGACCCGCAGGGGCACGTGGCCGGTCTGGCCTGAAATCGAGGCAGAATGTGAAGTGCAGGCCGTCCCTTCCCTTCCGGGTCTGCCTCCCAGTATCAACGGCTGCTCTTTATCCCCTGCGTGGCACTGTCCCCCCGGGCACCTGGACACTTCCACCTCCCTCCTTCTGCCCGGAACCCGGCTTTCTTAGGACAATACTGTGAGCAGTGTCACTGGGTGAGAGCTCCGAGCAAATGCCACTCAGGTCTTGTCCCTCTCCTGCTCCGTCATCCACCGGTGGCTTCCCATTCGCCCAGGGTAACCGCAAAGTGCCCACCAGGGCCTGGCCTCGCTGGCCACCCACAGCCATGCTGGCTTCCTCCGGCCACCCTGCCATGTCGCCAAGCACCAGCCACAGGCCAGCTCCGCATTCCCACAGTAACACCCCCTCCGCCCCACCCCCCAGAGCCATGACTCCTTTGCCTGGTTAACGCCGTTAGGTCTCAGACTGGATGTCATTTCCTTGGGGGCCACCCCTCGTTTCAGACATGTTCCCTCTCTTGGACAGCAGTTGGCACATTCAAAATGACACTTGTCTCTGTTTTGTTTGGAGAGTATCTGTCCTCTGGACTGTGGGACCCCGAGGGCAGAGGTCCCCTGGGTCCCAGGCCCAGCACCCTGCCTCACACATCGCAGATGCCCAAGACCACACCTTGCTAAGGAAGGAACACACTGACTCAGATCAGGTGGGCCTGGGCCAGCCTTGGCACTGCACAGGAGGAGAGGAGAGGGGCCTGGGGGCGCTGTCAATGCCCACAGGGGTGGGGACCGTGGAGCCACCAGGAGCCTGGGGGCTGGGAGCCAAGGGCACAGAGGGTGAGGGGCAGGTTTCCAGCTTTTAGGAGCTGCAGGGACATCGTGAAGAATTACTCCTTATCTTGCAGGCTTAAAAGGCATGTCCTATTATTCACACAGGCCATACACGTTCAGATGTGCTGCCATCCCTGCCTGATATGGTGAAGTAAGGAGTCCTCCCCGGGGAAATGTCTATGAATCTGGATTAAAAAGGATTGGATTGATCAGAGCAGAGCAGACACACCTGTGGCCAAGGCAGCGCCCCAGTCACGGGCGGAGCCTTAGGAGCAGTCATTCTGTAGCCAGGGAGGGTCTGCCTGGGGCCCAAGGCCCTCCTTGTCCTTACTCATCAAACATAATTCAGAGTGTGTGTGGGGAGGGGCGTTTTCCACCTCCACCCAGAGCCTCTGTTTAGTGATTCAGGTTAACGGAGCACCACTGTCAGGGCAGAAAGTCCTTCCCGACAGAGTGCTAGCGCCTGCCCTGCCTCTGGGTTGGGCATTTACCCAACTGTACAGGACAGTAGAGGCCCATCTGCAAGTCATTCGGTGCAGATCAGAGGCCTCTACAATCCCTGCGGATGCACGTCACTGTCCCCTGACCATCACACAACCTCAGACATTTGCGCCAACCGTGTGCAAGGCCTTGGACCCAGGGCTGCAGGGACAGAAGTAAGTAAGGACAAAAAGGAAATAACGAGGGAGAAAGAAAAGCTGCCTCTGCTCTTGGGGTTTGCCACCCCCCGCCCTCACCCCACCCCCCCACCCCCGCCCCGCGTGCAGAGAGATCAGCCACAATAAGCAGCAGTCCACCTCCCTGACAGATGACCAGTGCAACCTGACACCCTACACGCCCAGAATGGGCTCTGATTCATTTGCTTCTTCAAGGAATAACTATTGAGCCCCCTGCAGAGGCTGCCCATTGTCCCTGTATTTCCTAGAAATGGAACCCTTTTTAGCACATGCATGGCTGCTCAGCAGGAAACCACACTTGGTAGCCTCACATGTGTCTCTGTATGGCCCTGTGACCAGGGTCTGGCCAGTGGGATGGAGCCTCACATGTGTCTCTGTATGGCCCGGTGACCAGGGTCTGGCCAGTGGGAGGGAGCCTCACATGTGTCTCTGTATGGCCCGGTGACCAGGGTCTGGCCAGTGGGAGGGAGCCTCACATGTGTCTCTGTATGGCCCTGTGACCAGGGTCTGGCCAGTGGGAGGGAGCCTCATGTGTGTCTCTGGATGGCCCAGTGACCAGGGTCTGGCCAGTGGGATGGAGCCTCACATGTGTCTATGTATGGCCCTGTGACCAGGGTCTGGCCAGTGGGATGGAGCCTCACATGCATCTATGTATGGCCCGGTGACCAGGGTCTGGCCAATGGGATGGAACTTCACATGCATCTATGTATGGCCCGGTGACCAGGGTCCTGACCAATGGGATGGAGCCTCACATGCATCTATGTATGGCCCTGTGACCTGGGTCTGACCAATGGGATGGAGCCTCACATGCATCTATGTATGGCCCGGTGACCAGGGTCTGACCAATGGGATGGAGCCTCACATGCATCTATGTATGGCTCTGTGACCAGGGTCTGACCAATGGGATGGAGCCTCACATGCATCTATGTATGGCCCTGTGGACCAGGGTCTGACCAATGGGATGAGCCCTCACATGCATCTATGTATGGCCCGGTGACCAGGGTCTGACCAATGGGATGGAACCTCACATGCATCTATGTATGGCCCGGTGACCAGGGTCTGACCAATGGGATGGAGCCTCACATGCATCTATGTATGGCCCTGTGACCAGGGTTCTGACCAATGGGATGGAGCCTCACATTTGCATCTATGTATGGCCTGGTGACCAGGGTCTGACCAATGGGATGGAGCCTCACATGCATCTATGTATGGCTCTGTGACCAGGGTCTGACCAATGGGATGGAGCCTCACATGCATCTATGTATGGCCCTGTGACCAGGGTCTGGCCAATGGGAGGAAGCCTCACATGCATCTATGTATGGCCCTGTGACCAGGGTCTGGCCAATGGGAGGGAGCCTCACATGTGTCTACGTATGGCCCGGTGACCAGGGTCTGGCCAGTGAGGGGGGTGGGAGTGCTATGTGCTACTTCTGGGAAGTGTCCTCAAGGGAAGTGGTTTTGCCCTAAACTAGCTTTCCTTCCCGCTGTCTGACACAGGACGTACTGGCCAGATCTGAACAGCCTTTTCAGAGCAGGAGGACTGTATGATGACAGTGGAGCAGAGAGAGGAAGGAGCCTGGATTCCTGATGACTGTGTTGCCCAAAGAGCCTGGACTGCCCATGTCTGGAGTGTTCGATTGAGAGAACAAAACCATGCTCGCTTGGCTAATTTGGGGTCTCTGCTACCTGCAGCTAACCCAAACCCTAAAGGGCTTCAGCACCCGCTCTGTGTCAGGACCCGGGGCCGTGAGAATGAATAAGACAAAGACAGTTCCTGCTCCCGGGAGCTCGCTGTCTAGTGAGCGACAGAGACAGACCAGTAACAAGCAAAGAAGCCAGTGCATCAATGCCAATAGGCTCCGTGGCGTAAGCAAAGAGCTCTGTAAGTGAGAGGATAGCAGTCAGGGAAGAGGAGCTAGGAAAGCTTTCCTGAAGGTGGCCGGTTTTAGAAAAAAATGGGAAGAGGAGAACAGGGCATTTGTTATAGGATGTTGTCTCCAATTATTCATCTTGATCAAAATGCAGAAACTAGAGGAGACAGCTGTTCCACCTGCCGCTGACCGGAGCCTCTCCCCGAGGAGGGGGTTCCCGGTGGTGTGGAAGGTGAGGTCGCCTAGTGCGTGGGCAGATGGCCTCTGGCTGGTCCTCCGCTGAGCCAGCCTCCGGGTCGTAGCTGGCTTTGGTCGGGGTGTGTCCAGCTCAGGAACACCTCGTCACTGGCCCCGTGTCCCTGTACCCAGGCTGACATAGTCACTTTCTGAAAGGCAGAGTCCTGGGCCCTGCCTGATGGAGACTTCTGGTTTCCTGAGATTGAATTAGCCGCGTTGAGGTCTGACGGTCCAGGGAATATGGGCTTCCAGAAACTCAGATTACAGGCCTCAAGGTCATCTGGGCCAAACACCCACCAGGCCGAGACCCTTCTCGCTCTGGCAGAGGGCCCTCCACTCCCTGCGTGACATGCCAGCGGCCAGCGGCGGGCAGAGTGCTCTGTCCACGAGGCTGCAGCTTGAGCCTCGACAGCAAATCACGTCCTGCTGAACTGCAACCCGAGCCCCCTCCCTGAGCTTCCTGTGGAGCCACCGAAAATAAGATGCACCTCTTTTCAAATGAGAGGCTTCAATTACGTGAGGTCACTTACCGCGACCCTGCGGCTCTCTCTTTTCCTGGCCAAGCCTCCTCCGAGCCCACGGCCGCTTCTCCTGTGAGCGGTACAGGCCGGAGCTCAGGGCCTGGCGCAGCAGCGAGGAAGGCTGCCTGTCCTCCTAGCCAGCTCAGCGGCGACATCAGATGGAGCCAAGGAAGGCGGGACTATCCGTGTGGTCTTCCGTGGCGCTCCACGGACTCACTCCCAGGTCCTAGGTGTGGGCTGGGTTTGTAAGGCACCTTTGCAAACCCACTATTCAGTCTAACCTCCCGTATGAGTGTCCTAGGGCCGCCAAACCCCGCGACCACACGCTGGGGCCAAACACAGCAGGACCGTTGGCTTCAGAGGTGCTGGAGGCCCAGTCCCAGTCCGGGCCTGGGCGAGGCTGGGTCCTCATGGGGGTTTGGGGGAGGAGGAGCCACTCGCTGCCGCTCTCCTCGCCCCGTGGTGGCTGGCAGTCCTTGCGTTACTGCCCTCCCTGTGGCCTTTTTCTCTGTTTCTGTGTCTTTCTCCCCTTCTCTACTCTCCTAGGACCCTCTTCACTTCTTCAGGCCTAACTTAGACCAGGCAATTTCATCCTGAAACCCTTACCTTAATCATATCCACAAAGGCTCTCACTCCATCCCTCTCTACCTACGGTCACACTTTGATGTCCCTGGAGGTGACACATTCACCCCACTCCCCTCCGTACTTCACAGGTGAGTGCTGTGGGTGTGTGTGGGGGGGGGGGGATTTGTTGGGGTCCCCAGGGGCTAGGGAGGGCTTACAACAGCGCTCTGAGGCAGTAATCAGACACAGTGACATCTCCTCAGCCCAGAATTGCTGCAAAATACATTTCCATGAATTCTTCACATCACGGAAGCTTACCTTTTTAAGAGACAAACTTCTAAGAGATCAACCAAAGGACTTATATGCAAGCATATAGGCCTAACCAATGGGCACGGACAACAGGGGGGTGAGGGCGTGGGTGGGGGGGATGGGGAGTAATGTGGGGATAAGGACACATATGTTATAACTTAATCAATAAAAAATTAAAAAAAGAGACAAACTTCTATAAAAAATACTATTTTGGTGATAAGCATTCTACACCATATCAATATACTCCCTCAACTTATTATACAGAAAACAATTTTCAAAAAAGTTGTCATTTTGTTGGTAACTCACAGTCGTTTGTGTGAGCAGCCAGGCAGGCTGTAACATGGTGCTCAGGTCCAGCTCAGCTGGGGGGCTGTGGCCCCGGCCCTGGCTGCCCACATTCCTGCTTCTGGACTGGGTGACCGTCACCGTCACCCAGGAACCGTCACTCCCATTCACTCATTCACCAGCTCTGACGGGCCGTGAAGCATCATTTGAGTGGGTGGGAGGAGTATTAATCTTTGTTTTGCTTTCTGTATTTCTCTCATTCATTCAGTTTCAAGCAGATCACCCGGCTCTTGGTAATGTTTTTGCCTCAGGGATTTTTCCTCCCAGGCAGGGAGCCAAAGCAGCTTGAGCCAAAGGCTCTTTCTGTCTTTTGTAAAAACCTAAATCCATTTTGTAAAACGCTAAACCCAAGGGGTGAGTGGGAGTAAGAAAGAGCGATTCCCTGAGACTGGGCGGAGGAGAGAGGTTGGAGGTCCCGGAGGGCCCGGATCTGAGCGAGCCCAGTGGCAAGTCCCGGAAGCAGGGAGGGCTGGCCGCGCCGTGCCCCCAGGGAGGCCGAACCCTGCCCCTGGCTCTTGGTTTGGTGAGGATTCCCGAGTGCCAAGCGTGCCACAGGAACAGCCTGGCAAGGGGCCAGCATGGGAATGACGGTGCGAGGCCCTTCCTGCCCTTCTGGGGACGGTGGAAGCTTCTTGATTCTGAATACAGTCAAGGGGGGGGGCGGGGGGTGCGTTTTCTGCCAGCCCTATAGAGTGGGCTCAACGTGGGTTTTAATTGATTTAAGAAAATAAAGAAATGAAAATTCTGGATTTCTGAATCACGTGGCCTTGTAAATTAGAGCTTCCAGGCCTCTTCTGCCCTAGATACATAGCAGCAGTAGATAAAGGATGTTTTTAAAAGTCACAGCCATACTACAAAACAGGACAAACTCTTAGGGGCAGACCTAGCAGCCACAACACAGCCAGTGGGGTGTAAGCAGGTGTGTGCTTGGTGCCAGGGCTGGAACTGGCAGTGGTGGTGACAGTGACGACAACACCCCGCCTCCCCAGGGGTAGTAAAGGTGAGAGACAGAGGCTGCTCGCTGCTTGGACACCCCCACCCTAAAGGGGAAGCAGGAAGATGGTTCCTGGGCCTGCAGCTTCCGCAGAGGTGAGGACCCAGGCAGGTGGGGAAGCAGCCCATTTCCAGTACCGGGACTGAGCACCACCTGCCCGGTGACTGCGTCTGGGACAGACCAGCCTTCGGTGGGAAGAGAGCTTGGAGCCAGGGATGTGAAATGCTGCAAGAAGGTGCCAGGGAGGTTGGGTGGAAACCTGTGAAATGCTGGGCAGACAGGATTGAGTGTATGGGGCGGGCGGGGTGGGGGTGGGGGGGCGCGTGGAGAGGGAGAGAAGAAAGAAGGATGGAGAGAGGTAATCAGAAAGGGTGGGGGACAGGTTCCTAGGAGGTTAACCCAGGATCCTTTGCAGGGTGCACGGAGTTGGGGAGACCAGGCGATGGGAGGCCAGTGGACGGTGAACCCTGGATGGGAGATTGCTGTGCAGAAGTGGGGGAGGATTCTGAAGGGAAGAGAGAAAAGGAGCAGGGAACGGGGAGGAGTGGTGGGCCCCGTGTAACCTGGTGGTCACCCTCAGGGCAGCTGCAGTTCCCCCTACAAGTCTGAGCTGCACCCAAGTAGGGCCCATTGTCGGACCCACCGCATTCTCTGGTTAGGGCCTTGGTTTTTCCTGGTACGGCCTCTGAGCTTTGGTGGGTTTTTGAACTATGAGCTACTGAAGGTGCAGCAGGGGCTGGGGGGCTGACACCCAGTGGGAGGCCTGCCCCTCCAAAAGCGCCATCTGCAGGTGAGTGAGCGGACAGGACAAGGCCTGACCAGAGGGTCTCCTTATGTTGCCACTGTTGCCGGAGGCCTCTGCCGCGCAGGGAGGCCCCCAGCGGAGCAGAGCTCCAGCCCTTCAGTGTGACGCCTTTGCAGGGCGCATCCCAATAGACTGATGCTTCATTTCCAACCAGACGGCTGCTGCTCATGGCCCAGGAGCACCACAATTCCCTGCAGCTTGGGGTGCTTTTTTCTAACACTGTGTCGCTTACTTTATTTAAAGCGGGCAGTTTCGGGGGCTGCCTGTGGTAGGTGGATTATCTGATTTTGTCTGGGAGCCTCTAGCCCTTCGAGTCCTGACTGAGCGGGCACAGGGACCGACCTCCTGGGCCAAACCAGGGTGCATTCCCAGGAGGCCGCTCGTCTCGCTCCGTGCGTCCTGCTTGATGACAGGCCTCGGGATTCTGGAGCAGAGGAAAGAGCATAATGAGCTTCATGTTGGAATTGTGAAGGTTGTTATTATAATCATTTCCCTCAGAAGAACTGTAAACAGTTCATTTGCAGAACTGCAGCTGAAGTCTCTAATTAGACTCTCGCCAGGCTCTCCCTCCAGTTGCGAAATCTATTTTGTTTGTTTTTTTCTTTGTTTTGACCTTCTCTCCACTGGACAGCTAAGGAGTCAGCCTCACATCGTTCCTCCTGTTTTCAAACTGTTTCCATAGCGCCTGCCTCGCCCATCACTCACAGTGCTCTGCGGGTGGGGACTGTGCTGGTGGTGGGCGAGGCCTGTGAATCTATTAAATTCGGCAATTCTCAAATGTACAGAGTAGACATATTTCACGTGGTCAGGGGGTCACCGAGCATCTGAAAGACCGGCCGCCTGGGGCCCCTGCCTGCCCTCTGACCTCCACCCTAGACACCAGGCAGATGGGGGGGGGGGTGTCCTTGGGGGGATGGTGACTCCGGGCTCTGGCTCTAAAGTCCAGAGGGGTTAAAGCAAGAGTTGTGGGCCACTGATGCATCCTAAAATGGCCGGCCTCCCTTTTCCCGATCCTGCCACAGGTGACTGTCCCCAGGAAAACGGCACAGGTGCCAGTGCACCTGCAGGCCAAGCTGCGTGAGCGAGGAGGAGCAAGTTTCTCAGGATGGTGCCACCTCCATGCAGCTCCTCGCCAAGCCTCTCCTTGCCTGAGCCTGGGGCTGGGGGGCACAGGACGGGGGTCAGGAGACCACAGAGGGGTACTGCTTCCGACTGAAATGTACAAATGTGGAACCAGTCCTGCTGGCCCAGGCCCAGGAGTCCAAGAGGGCTCTCAGAGGAGCCTCCAGGGAACACTCCCCAGGCTGTGGTCCCACCCACTCCATGCCCCTCCCCCTCCCAGCCCAAGCCCTGCCCTCCTCCTGGCCCCACCCCCGAGAATCTTGGGTGGCTCCTCTTTCAAACACACAGGCAGGTGGACTCATGGCTTGTAACATTTACTGGAGGTGAGAGAAGAGAGGATTAAATTATAAAATGCATATTTGCCAAAACATGCTCTCTCTTACAGGAGCAGTCAGGGAAATCTGAGTTTTTGGAGCAGCAGCATCCCCAAGCCAGGCCCTGGGCCAGCCCCTAGTGACCCTTGGGAACAGGGCTGCCGTGTCTCCTGCTGTGGTGAGTCAGTAGGCGGCACCTGGACTCTCCTCTCATGGTGGATATGGGGAGGCCCCCACCTCCCAGCAGGTCAAGAAAGACCCCCAAGGACCACATGGAGTTTGAGTGTGACCCCAGGATTGCCCACCTCTATGTGATTAAATCTTGGGGTCCCGGCTCCATAATGGGCTTCGTGCCTGAAGGTCGCCCACCTGCCTGCTCAGTTCTGGACGGAAAGCTGTCGATGTGTTTCCCATGAGGCCGCCTGGACTGCACGGCCTGTTTTCACCAGATCTGGGAAGGCCCAGGCTGGACCCAACTTCACTGCTCTCTGCTATGAAGATAGCTGGCTTGTGAGAACATCCTAAGTTTATAAACGCTTCAACTTGGCCTTGTAAACACTGATCGCTCCAGATACGACGTCAGCTCTATGTATGTGCATCTTAAACGCCACTGCGTGCTGCATGCTCCCAGGCCGCTGCCACAGGGGGAGAGAGGACTTAATAGCAGGAAACGCCCCCTGGAGATGTTTATTTGCCACAAGGAGGGATGAAGGGCCCTCGGCAAGCTTTGCTGGGTGTCCCGCTCTCTAATTAAGTTTACCCCTGATTACTACTCAGGAGGTGCTGGGGAGACCTGGAGGGGCTGCTCAGGGCGGAGGCACTGCAGGAGGGTTCATGAAAGCACACACGAACAGGCTCCATCTAAATCCGCAGGAAAAGGCCGTGTGGTGCTTAGAAAGGAACAGAGGATGGAAGCTGTTTGCACAAATCAACATATGTCTTTTAGAGATTCTAGTTAAGTACATGCTCATTTACCTGAATCGTACCGTCTCGGCAGTCCCTGCACTTTCACTCTGAGGAGAAGCAGCTTTTTTTCAAAAAACTGGATTTTCACATCATGACATAGGGGTGCCACAGCAGAGCTGACTCCAGCCAACGGGCAGACCATGAATGTCCGGCTTCCTCAAACTTCAATTGACAATGTTAAAAAATATTTTTTCTCTAAACAAAGTTCCACTCTTCAAATCACTGACCCTTTCTGGGAAGCCACGTGAAAAATATTTAAACAAATCTGGGTCGTTAAGTAATTACCTTCCTCATCTCAGAGGCAGATGCCTGATCCTGACCTAATTTTATAGCTAAAAACAGATAAACCTGCTTGGAAGCCAAGTGCACTTCATGCTTTCTTCTGTTACTTGCTGAGGAGTGAGAGACTGAAATACAAAGAAACAATGGCCATACCATATACAAAAATAGAACTCTGACCAACAGCCGAAGCAGCCAGCCCATGAACCGACCCCTTGTCTACAGTCACCAGCCCAGGAACCAAACCCCTGTCTACA